CCCTTTCTTCCGTTTCGAATACCAGCGAAAGAAAGACAGCGGTATTAACACGCGATATTAATTTTTTTGTCCCGCGCGAAAGTTCAACGTTCCGAGACACGAGAGGCGAAAGGAAACAACGAACGAACGTCTGCGTCGCGGGATCTAGCGCGCGTTTGCTTGTCGTCGCTACGTAGCTATGTGTGCACGACACACAAACACAGAGGCAGCAGGCACCGTGTACACAGCGACGAGCGTCGATCCTCGGCGAATTTACGAAGGCCCTTGTCGCGCGGCTGATAGTTACAGGCCTGGTCTCAATTAGTAGAACTTACGTCGCTAGGGTCCAATTAGACGTAGGCTAGAAGCTACACCCTGTTTGCTCAAGTTTGCCGTACCTGTGCACCACCGTCCGTCGGATGGGGTTGCTGCCCGTCCTGTAGCTACCGAGCCCGTTGAAGGTGTCTTTTTCCTACGCTAATGACTAATTAGCAGCCTCTCCACTTCACAGTATAATGACACGGGATACAGCCTTGAGCCGTCGGCTGGGATCATTATTAAACCCCGAAATTGCAGTCGTGCCTGCCGCCTCGTGTTATGCACCGCCTCGTGCCCTGTACTTTGCCCTATCCTGCGCTCTATTCCAGCCCTGTTCAAACGCGCCGCGCGCTAGTACACGACGTCGCGACGCGCCGCGCCGCCTCGTCTGCTCGCTTCAGCCACGGCTCGAAGGACACGCGGCAAGATGCGGAACGTGACTCGACGAGGACGAGGGTGCGTTTTGATTTTTACATCCCCCTTCTTTTACTTGCCGCAGTTTTTCCCCATTTTCTTTTTACACTCCTCTTCTCTTACTTCTTCATCTTCTTTTATTCTTTTTCTTCGCTCTCGAGTAACTTCCTTTCGGTAAAAGGGGGTCGGTACGATCGCAGAACAAACGGTGTATTCATATTTAATCAGCTCGTTTCACCAGGCCACGAAATATTGAGTTTCACTAGGCGGATAAGGGACACGTGTGAAATTACTTGTCTAATTGCTTCGACGCCGGACGCAATTAAACAGGCTCCCCCGGTGCACGCGGGAATCCGGACAAGTACCGGGCGATTCTTAATTGCGTGTCAATATTGCAACGCGAAGTGGGCCCGTAACGTGACACAGGGGAAGAATGGTATGCACATGATCAGATGACTCAAACATACCTACCCAAAAATTTTATTCCATCCTTTATACCAAAATTTCATTTCTACACGTGTGTGTGTATATACTTTGTTGTCATCCAATAACAAACTTTCAAGAGCCACCCTCACGCATATTATACGAAAGCTATTCTCTTATGTATGGACAAATTCGTCTCGACCTTCCGAATAATACAACCAGAACCGTACGTTACCATCCACCCTTCTCTCTCTCTCTCCCACCTCTTTTACATTTATTTATTTCCTAAACGTCCGTCCCCGCCGGCTACTTTATATTTGACATTTTTATTAAACCAGCCGGTAGCCCCGTGTCCGTAGCGACAGCGTATCGTCGGGGAAGGACGAGGACGACAACGACGACGCTCGCACAAGGCGGCTCCCTTTGGCCGCCGCCACGTTATCCCATATTGCTGTTAGGGCAGTTTCGTAATCTCGCGAAGGGCGCCTCTCTCTTACTTTGACCGAATAAAAACTCGTATCCGTCGCCAATTCGTCGATCGGATATCCCTGTTTCCCAAACCCTTACTCGTCGTCCGCAGCCGCTCGATTTCTCTTTCGCCACCGCCCGAGAGACAGTCGGCGCGGAAACGATGGACCTCCACCCGGTTGTATCGCGTCCAACGCCGCATACGACCCCATCTATAAATCAACTTTTCACTTTACGATTGCGTCTACCGTTCGTAGAATGCCTTAGTTCCTTTCCCTCCTCTCGGCGTAAGCCGTTTCTTGCACGAGAACGATTTTACGCGGTCGAACGTAGGAAGTAGGACGAGGAGGGTTGGTTTTCGGCTGGTTTGGAGAGGTTTTTTTTTTCCGCCCCATCGTGGCTGTATCAACCACAGGGCTCGAGTAAATCAGAATCGTGGAGGTTCGCGGAGAGGCTGGTTGCGGCTAGCTGATACACACCGTTGCGCATTGTCGCGAAATAATGGGACGGTAAATTGACGGGATTAATTTAATTTTATCTAGCGCATCATCGAGAGGCCGGTGCCGATAACAACGCGAGCCGTCCACGGAATTGGATATTGCGTGGCGCCTCGACAAATAACTGGTACAACAAAAGTTTCGATCGCCACCGCGGTTACACTTAGAAATCGCGTTTTCGAAAGGCGAGCGCACGTACAGGGTGTTTCGAAATATGTGGGCGTAACTTGGGGGATGGATTCGGTACGGTGAAATAAGTGAAAAGGTTCGTATAAACGTATAGCCGATGTGAGCTTGTTTCCGAATTATAGTCCTGTTGTTTAATAATTTTCGTAGAAATTGTTCGAATTGGTCATCTTCGGCTAGAATGCAGGCTTCGTAGATCTTCTCACTCGTTGAAAAATATTCTTGAATAAGATATCGCAGTTCATTGTTTACTCGTGTGTTGTAAACCAAAGACTTTAGGTGCCCCGGCAAATAAAAATCCAACGGATTTTAATTAATTGGCCCTCCCCACGACTGATCCGTTTATTAGGGAATCTCTCGACTGAAAACTGTCTCGCTGGTCGACTAAAATGTGGTGGTGCACCATCGTGCATAAACCATCGTGCAAATAATAGAATATACTTGTAAACAATTTCAAAAAGCAGTCAATAGAGTGATAAGAATCACTGGAGGACGTAAAACGGCTATAATTCGGAAACAATCGGGTACATTCTCCTGAAGTTATGCCCACATGTTTTGAATCACCCTGTATATCGTTTTTGTCACGATCACTTCTACGTTTCGACTCTTCCGGACGATCGGTATACAAGTGGATCGTTTGACATTGGCGCGGGGAATTCTCGTTCGTTCTTTTCCTCGAGTGTAGAATTGCATCCCCCTTCCCTAGCTTGTTCCTTCCGACCTCGTGGTACGAATCCGAGCGATCCCGTCGTCGCGACGATCGTATCAATCGAACTAGAGAACAGAGGAACAGAAAGGGAGAGAGAGTTAGCAGGTGGAGGAACAAAGATGGAGCGAGGGAACGAGAGTAGTTAGAAGGGGCAGCGGGTAGGGGGAGAGAGAAAGAAAAAAAAGTAAATCCGGAGAAAAAATGGAGCGCACAGATCGTTTGACGAATCACGAGTCGTCTCTTGGATACCAGGCGTAGGTGGGGCACGTTAAGAGGGGGGCCAAGGGGATACGCGGCAGAGGGATGATGTTTTTTTTCCTCCGCGGCGCCTCTTTAATTTGCCCTCCAATTAACGGACGGGGTCCTATTTGAAAAATACCTGCCACGAGGGCTGGCAATTATACTCCTTCCTTTTTTTTTTTTTTTCTTTTTTTTGCGCCACGAGCGCGTTATTAGCGCTATCCGTCGTTCCTCTTGCTCCTCCTCGCCCCTGTGTGTTCCATCCCCCTCCCACCTCCCGCGTCACCCACACCCACCCCCGTACCACCGCCCTTCCTCTTCCTTCCTCGTTCCTGCCCCGCCGGAGAGTCGAGCTTGTTCCTCTCCAACCTCTCTCCCACCTTCCTCCGCATCGCCCACACACACACACACTCTGTCACCCTAGCTTTTTACGTGCGTGTGGCCGCGTTCGCGTATCCGTATCTGCCACGCGGTTGTATGGGTTTTGTGTGCATTGCAAAGTGCGCGAGTGCTCGTGGACCGCCAGCGAGTTGGAGGGAGGAGGAGGACACGCGGGCTGAGTGCAAGGTAGAGAGAGAGAGGGCTTCTGCTGCCGGCGTGGTGGTAGAAAAGAGAGGAACAGAGACAAACGGTTGGTAGATAGAGAGAGAGAGAGAGAGAGAGAGAGAATGAGTGGTAGTGGGACAGGAGAAGAAGAGGAGAAGTAGCGGATGGTGGGGAGGAAGGGATGGAGTCGGGGTGTGCTGGCGAGTTAGAGGAGTGGCGTTTATAACTCGTGCCCGGGTCTCCAAGCTTTGAGAAGGCCAATTAGCAGCATAAAGCTACAGCTCGGCCCCGGGGCCGAGGATGTTTGTATGTAATAATGGATTGTTACTCAAAGTATCCGGCTAATTAATTAAGCCCCCGCGCCTCGCCGTGCAGCCACTCACCATTTTAGCCTGGCCGTACCTCTCCTTCCCTTCGGATCGCCTTTAGAAACGCGTTCAGTTTTCTGCGAATGTGGTCGTCGGTGTTTCCTCCTCCCGTATACTTGCCGCTTTTCAACGGCGCCGGGCCATCGTCGACTTCGAACGATCCCCCCCCGGGATCGATCCTCCCCCCAGCCCGACCGTCTGCCCCGCTGTGGATCTCTGAAACGCGGCCACCGGATGCTGCGCCGGCTCCACGAGCCTAACCGCGTTTCCTCTGCCTCGCATACACACTCGATCTCTGTGTACTCCGATCGAAAAGTCGTCCCCGCGGCTTGTTTGATGCGCTACTCTCGTTTGTTTATGAACGTTTCTGATAACTTTTTTCTCTCTTTGCTTCTTCTTTCGAAATAGCGTTGTTATTATGGTGTTGTTTGGAATAGAACCACGCGGTTCGTTGGAAACGATCGACGACCGGGAGTTACCAACATTGCCTAGTTTCTAAAGTTAAATCTCTATAGTTAGATGTGTTAAAATTAGAAGGGACTTCGGGTATCGGAAAATATCCCGTAGGGTAGAAAATATGTCGACGTTGATCCATCGAAAAACACGGGAGATTTAACGCTCGACGACGGACGACCGGTCCAATTAGCGTGGATCGTTATTCCGTGTTGTCGGCCACTTAGCAGACGCTTATTATCGCGGCGTACGTGTACATTACGCGGTGGGCTGTCTGCGGCAGTGGCATTGTCACGAACGCACAATGGTAGGGAGACACGATTCACGATGTGTCGCGGATTTAACGAGTCGCACCCGTTCTTGTTCCATGTTGCAGACGGCGTTCTAGCCGAAATCACGATGACGATGGACGTGAGCAAGTCGGAGCCGAATAAAAATGGCACCACGCAGCAAGAATGCGCTGGATGTGGGAAAGCGATCACGGAAAGGTGAGCTTCTGTTAAATTCCTAAACAATTTACACTAATTAATTAAGCAAAGAAAAGGAGAAGAGAATTCAGTAGAATTCCTCGAATCACGGGTTAATTGAGAGAGATAAGTTTATTCCGCGTAAATGGCGCTGGAAGATCAGGCCACGAGCCACGTTATGCTGCCGGGTCGGTAAGAAGGAAACCTATGGTCGGTTCTTCAGGTATCTCCTCAGGGCCTTGGACCTGTTCTGGCACGAGGACTGTCTGAAGTGCGGGTGCTGCGACTGTAGGTTAGGAGAGGTCGGTTCTTCTCTGTTCACCAAGGCCAACCTTATCCTCTGTAAGAGGGACTACCTCAGGCTGTTCGGGAACACGGGAAACTGCGCGGCGTGCAACAAGCATATACCGGCGTTCGAGATGGTCATGAAAGCCAGGACGAATGTTTATCACCTCGATTGTTTCGCCTGTCAACAGTGTACACATCGGTAAGTTCCATTTCAAACCATTCTAATCTTCGCCTATTCTAACGAAAAAAGAAAAAAAAAAAAAAAAGAAAAATCCTCCTTCCCGCATCTTCCACCTCGTTTTAACGTTTCGCTGTGCTGGTCGAAGAAACCCGCTTCTTTTTTCCTTCTTTCTCACTCGTTCACCCTGTCTCTTCCACCACGTTCACGTTTCTCTTCACATCGCGATGAACGAGCGATGCAAACGAAGAAAAGGGGACCCGTACGCATGCAAAAGTAACAAAGACGAAGGGAGGTGGGGGTGGGTGGGGAAGGAGGAATGGAAAGGAATGGCTGGTGGAACGCGACGCGGGAGGGGGAGAGGGTAAAGGGGTAGAGAGAGATACAGGGGACGAAAGGAAAGAAGCGAGAGTACTGGTTTGCGAGAGACACAGTCCACTCGGGAGTTGCTTTACAGGTCAGCTGGGAAATCACCCTGTGCTCTATCCGTCGCGACCTCTTCCTACCGCCTGCGCCAGCATTCTACGCAGGAGGAGGCCAACTTCTCGTCGCGTTATTCCTACCTCGCCGTCCTTCCATCCGCCTCCTCTTCTGACCCCTCGAGACCAGTTATGTAATTATCCGGATACTGCTGACATTTTTGTATCATATTGCTCGGTGCTGGGCGAGCGAGACGGTCCCTAAATGCCGTACCAGAGCTCTCGCGAACAACGACGAAAAAACCGAGAGAAATTCGCAGTTCTATTTATCTCTACCCGGGCTTTCGTTTCTTTACGAATTCAATCGTGAATCGTGCTTTCGTTTCAAAATCGTGCCTATCTTTCGATCGTTTTTTCTCTCCTGGTTATTCTACTTTGTTTCTCCTCTTTTCTCTGTCTCTCTCTCTCTCTCACACGCTCTCGTTTCTCGCGATTACCCTTCGTTTCTATCGCGGTTCTCTCGTTGTTCATGTTTTATTAAAGTTCCGCAATTTGGCTCAAAGCGATGCCCTCCCCACTCTGATCATCCGGTCTGCCATCTGACGCGTAAATTACAACGGACACAGCGGCGAGTAATTTGCCGGGATGCGAAATTTTATTGCCGCCGGTAACGAGGCTCGAGTAATTCCACGAGACTCACCAGCGTCGCGATTCCCTCCTCGACTGCCTTTTCGTTCGTCCAACTCGCAGAGAGAGAGAGAATTCTAAGACAAAGGAGTGTTCTGTGTATGTATGTATATAGAAGTTTAACAGAATCGAACGAGCACGAAGAGGAGACGAATCAAGTGTATATAGAAAAGAAAGGGGGAGAGAGAGAATAAAGTCCGTGAATCGCGACGTTCATCGACAGCAACAAGAAACCCGAAAAGACACGATAAAAAGAGCCAAGGGAGTTTGAGGAGGGGGTTGAAAATAGAGAAGAAAATAGGAAAGAATAAGCTTTTGGTAGAAAAGTGGGAGGAGGTGGAGGAGAACGGTCAATGTAAAACGGCGAAACTACGGAACCGTGGCGAAACACAATGCTGGCTTATTGACGAAACGAAAGGTTTTCGAGGGTAGCAGAAGCGAGTGGTTGGCAGAGGTCTCTGGATACGGTAAAGGGCGCGAAAGGGAGAGAAAGAGAGATCACGAGTGAGGTCGACAGAGGAATAGAAAGAGAGGAGGTGGTGGAAGGGTGTGGGAGAAGGAGGAACGGAACAGGAGAATGTAGTTTGGAGCCAATAACAGTGGCTCGTCCAGGCGTGCGACAAACGTTGTACAGCTTCTCAAACAATGCGAACAAAAGAGCATCAATTTTACGTTTTTATCGCGTGGCATTGTCTATCTTCGACAATGGGCCGGCGAGCGGGCAGCAGCGGCGGCGGCGGCGGGGGGCATGCCCAAGGCATCGTCGCGCGTTCATCCGCCGCGCGCAACCGACTTCAACGGAATCAACGAAACCTGCTTTTGTCCCCGTGATTCCGATCCGCGCGTTGCGCACACGCCACGTTCTTGCGGTTCGCTGCAAGCTTTTTCGACGTGACACCGCAACGATAGCTTCGACGATTGCCCGTTTCATGGAGTGATTCCGCTTAGGAGTTACGAGATTGTGTTTTCACGTTGGATAGACATCGACCTAATTTCGAAATTTTCGATTAACGCGTGCGTCGTGGTAGTTTCGATCGGTTCGCGGAGATTTCGTCGTTTAAGGAGCTATATCACAAATGTTTATTTAAATGTTTGAAATTTTGTTTTTCACGGTTAAAGGGTTGAAGGGGTTAAAATAACACTGCAATATGGTACAATAGCTGGATTAATTTATATAGACAAGATGAAGTAGCTATATAAAAAAATGCATTTAAATGTTATGAAATTTTGTTCTTAGAATGCGTCACGGTTAAGGGGTTCAAATAATATACTACAAGATGATAGAATAGCTAGGATAATCTAGACAAGATGAAGCAGCCTATATTAAAAAATGTATTTAAATGTTCGAAATTTTGTTCTTCACGATTAAAGGGTTAAAGTGGTTGAAGGGTTAAAATAACACTGCAATATGGTAGAATAGCTAGAATAATCTATATAGACAAGATGAAGAATATCAAGAAATGCATTTAAATGTTTGACATTTGTTTCTTAGAACGCGTCACGGTTAAAGGGTTAAAGTGGTTAAAGGAGTTAAAATAAAATACTGCAATATGACAAAATATGAAAAATGCATTTAAATGTTCAAAATTTCTTTCTTAGAACGCGTCACGATTAAAGGGTTGAAGTGTTTTCGAAAGGGTTAAAAAAAGGGGAAAGGGTTCTTTCTCTACTTAATTACATCAACCCGTTCTCATTTCTATCTTATTCGTTAAAACTGTATCTTTACCTACAACAGGAATGCTAGACTTAGAAACCACCGTTTATTCTAACCAGCCGGAATTACCAACGATTAGGCTTCATTGGTAATTTAGCATACCGGTGATCCCGCCAATTATTCCCCGTTTGATCGAAGCACCGAAACGCAGCGGAAAGCCCCAGATCGAAACGGTTCCAACGGGGCGTTCTCGGTTGGATTTAGATATTTGCCCCGTTTTGGCTTGGGCGAGTAAGGGGGGCGGAGGAGGAGGAGGAGGAGAAGGAGGGGATCGCTTCCAATTATTTCGCCGGTAAAAAACGAGCGGGTGAACTCGAGGAGGGCAATTATACGCGGGGCGCCGCGACGTGTAACGCGACGACTTAGAGTTTGCAATTAAACAGCAACAATTACACGGGGTAACTTTAGACTGTAATAACACAGAATAAAGGGTTGCCGGTGGCGGTGCCTAGCCTACCACCCTCCTGGTTAGAGGATGATTTACCGATCCAATTAGATATCTCTCTCTCTCTCTCCTGGTGCTCACCAACACAAACGTGATCGCGTCGCGTGTGCACCGATGGCTTTCCGCAACTATATAACACACGCACGCACACATGAACGTACACACACGTTCAACGAGGCGAACGGGAATTCGCGTCCCCTCGACGTTTCTTCGATCCTCTCGAGAAGACGTCCGGTCAAATTTAACGACCGCCCAGTTAATGCCCTCGCCGACTACAAATTGCAGTTTGCCGTTGTGGCGTCGCTAATTCGAGGTTCCCTAATTCTTCGTTGCTCGCGTATCGAACCGTACTTCTCCGGCGACCGTTGCTTTCCAACAGCAATTGAAGTTACCACCACCGTCGCTCGTTCTCAACCCGAAAAATTCATCATTTTCTTTCGTCCACGCCCTTGATTACCTTCCGATCTTTCTCTCTCTCTCTCTCTCTCTCGACGAACTTAACGACGGTAATTGTCTTCACTAACGATCATTGTTTCCCCTCCCGTTAACAAGTCGCACGCAGCAAGACATACTCGCCGACTCGATTAACAAGTTCCACCTGTTCACGCGTAACCGAACGTTGGTCGCGCGCTCGCTCGCGTACAAAACCAGTTCCAAAATACGTTACCATAATCGCGTGTGGAATACGACTGGACGGACAGTGGAAAAAAAATGTCGAAAACCGCCATTACATCGGCATCGTCCGAGCATTTACGACCGGTCGTTTCTCGCCAGAGGAAGCTTCATATTTTACACACTCCGCGGGGCGAATACATTTACACCTAGCGTAATACTGACCGTGGTAGGGGAATCAGAGAGAGAGAGAGAGAGAGAGAGGGAGAAAGTAACGCGTACGCTATAAACGAGGCATTAATCGCGCGCGGCTTCGTTGTTCGAGCCGATACGCTTAATTTGCCGTAGCAACGCCTTGCAGCTGGACACGGGAAGGCCCGGCTGTGTAATCCTCTTTCCTTCCACGACCAGGAGGAAACTCGTCGTCCCGGTCGTGGCAGCAGCAGCGGCGCAAATTAAACCGGTAACGCTGGCGCGCACGGGTCCCAGGACACGATCGCGACGCCGGCGCGTATGCAAATTTTATTCAAGAAACCTGTGTCCCTTCAAAAGAAAAGGATTCACAGAGGAGCAGGCGGCGGTGAATGTTTTATTTCGGCTCGCTGCTGCTACTCCTGGTTAGCATCGCGTTCCTACCACTGCATCGAACACGATCCTCCACCTCCACCTCCACCTCCTTCTCCTTCTTCTCGTCCCTGTAAAGCGAGTCTAATGGGGTCACGCATTGGCACCGGTTATTTTATTTATTTACACGAACGCCCTTCTCTCTTCCTCTCTGGCTGGCCGTTTTTCCACGGGACTCTGGTCGTGTCCGATTTTTCTCGGATTCTCGTTGCATACACACGTCCACGAGAGAAGGCCTCGCTAGCTTTCGCGACCCTCGTTAAACATTCAGTCGAAGCGATCTGAGAGCAAGCCGGCCCTCTCTCTAGATTGAAATTTTCCACGCGAGCTCGGGCGTCTTTCGACCGGCAGGACATGTCTCGCGTTCTCCTCTTCGTCCTCTGGACAGTTAATATTTCAAGGGAATCCTCCTTGCTGCGGTTCTCCGGGGTAGAAGTAAAGGATAGTTTAGACAGGGTTTTATCTTTGTCCAGGTGTGTGTGCGTGTCTATTGTCGCGAGTAATTTGAACAGAGAGGCTAGGACAATGAAATAGGGGAGGAACGATTAACCGATAGGATTAAACTGTAGCTCTCTCTTCTGGGCGCAGAGCTGGTTGAAAACGCTAGACGAAAGTGGAAAATCGGCGAGTATCACGCGGTGGTATCATGTCACGACAGACAGCTGCACCGGTCGCGAGAATTAGAGGAATGGGATTCGCGCGGCATTATTCCCGCGATCATAATAGAGGCTCTGGAACGAGTGCACTCGTGCAACATGATAATTTCACCGGCTGGTAGTTATGGGAATATCTGCTTCGGTTCAGGCTCGCGGAGGAGAAAGAATCCGCCCTCCCGCACCACCTTGTCGCACACCCCGCCTGTTCAGAATCAATTTTCACGTTTTAATATCGCGAAAACAAAAGCACCAACGACTTAATTACCCGTATAAATTAACACCCCTCGAGCGCGCGAGTTACTTCGCCTCTGGAAACTGTGTACCGTGTTTGCACAGCCAGTGTACATACAATCAAGCGTGGTCTAATGTTTCTATCCTCCCATAACGGAGAGCGGGGTCTTTGCTGTCTGGTATAAAGAACTTGGTATACACGGAACATCCTGTCCGTAAACTTTCTCCGGCTCGAATTAACGCAGTCGGTGCCTATCGAAATCGCGCAAAGGTACGCGAGAGAAAGGGTAGGAAGAGTGGTGTGAAGAGTGTGTGCGTGGAGGTTGGTCAGAAGAGATCCGCGAATAGTAGGAGGAAAGAAAGTAAATATCCAGGCGCGGTTACCTGACAGGCAATTGGCAAGGCGGAGAGAGCACCTTGAGAGGGAGAGACAAGACCGGTCGTGGCGAGAGGATGGTCTCGCGTGGCGGAGGCCAGAAACAAGCAGGTGACGGTCAGCTGAATAGCGGCGGAGGAACGCGAAGGAGAGGGACAGAGGTGACAGAAGGGCGATGATAGAGGGAGAACAAGTGAAACAGAATGAGAGAAAGAGGGACGAGGGGGTGAGAGAGAGAGAGAGAGAGAGGAGGTGGATCAGAGTACAGCGTCATTTAGCAGACGACGCGTATAATGGGGGAAACGAGCGAAACCCGGTATAAGCTATGCTCGTCGGGAGCGGCCGCGCGCAACGCGATAATTCTATTTGCCGTACGATTATGAGAGTATCTACCTCGAACCAGACTCTGCCGCTCTCGTATTTCGCTCTCGTATTTCCTACCGGGATCAAAGCGGATGTGAGACCGCTCGCGGACAGAAGCCCGATAATAATTATTTGTCCGACACGTTGCGATACGCTCGTTATCCACCACTCCTACCCCCTTTACTCACCCTTTGCCACTGTTTCTCCTTTTTTCTCTCCTGCTGCGTGCGCGTGCGTGTTTTTTTTTTCGTTTCTTTCTTTTTGATTTTTTTTTCTCTCTCTCGTCGCGACGATCAACCGATTATCGACGAACCACACTCCTCGCGAATGAACGAACACACACGTACGCTCTTTTTATTTCTCGGGACGTTTTGTAATTTCCTGTGTTGTTGCTTTTTAATCCTGTCGATATTAATTGAAGCTTGCGTACATTATACCGAGTCCACACTGAGGAAAATTGTTTGCGAGCTCCTCGCAAGCTGCTCGCGAACCAAAGTAATACCGTGTACATGCTGGAGCTCGTTAATAGCTCGCGAGCAGAACACCGACAGGTGTAGAGTTCAGCTCGCGAACTGCTTGCTGTTCGTAAAGTGTGCACTTTGACGACGAACGTGGTTCGCGATCAGGCCCATTGATGCACCGCCTCGTACGTGAGCAATGTTCTGCTTGCTGCTCGCGAGTAGAACACCAACAGTTATAGAGTTGAAGTCGCGAACAGGGTCTTTGATGTGAACAATGGTCACTGCAATCTGCTTGCTGTTCATAAAGTGTTCACTCTGACGACGAACATGGTTCGCGATCTGTTCGCGAACAGGCCTTTTGATGCACCGCCTCCTAAGAAAATAATATTCGCTGCAAACTGCTCACTGTTCGCAAAAGTGTCCACCAACATGGTTCGCGATCTGTTCGCAGGCCATCCGCGAACAAAAGTAATATCGTATATATAATAGCAGAACACAAGCAGTTATAAAGTTGAGCTTGTAGGTAGGCTCTTTGATGTACCGCTTCCTAAGCGAGCAATATTCACTGCAAGCAATGGTCCGCGGACAGTTCGCGCAGACCGGTGCGAATCCAGCACAGGGGAACAATAAGAAAAATCTAACGATCGTAAATAAGGATGACCCAAAGAAAACTAGTTTGCCGCGGCAACCCCTTTTATCCTCGCCGCGGCTTTCCACGGAATCTCCGTGCCGTGAAACGCGAACCCGCCTCGAGGCGTTCCCTTTCAACCGAGTTCGCGCGCGACACACAGCAACGTAACAGGTGACGAGAAACGTATCGCGCGGAAATCTCGACGACGATTCATCGAACCGCGGCACGCCTGTTGTAGAGGTGGCGGCGGCGCGCGGTTCGTGAACACACGGAGTCTGGTGCACACACGTCAGTGGACTACACCGAACCAGTCTCTCTCGTTTTTGATTGCAGGTTTTGCGTGGGCGATCGATTCTATCTGTGCGAGAATAAAATCCTGTGCGAGTACGACTACGAGGAGAGGTTCGCGCCCACCAATATGCCACCACAAACACCCGCCTCGATGGCGTACATCAAAAGGCAACTGCCCCCAGCGCCGACACCGCCTGGCCAGAACATGCATCCGGGTCACAATCCGCTGCAACCTCATCAGGCACTTGGCCAGTCGGTGGGTCAACATAATCACGTGTCGAACGTAAGTTAAGAGAGGAGAGAGAGCACAACCTGGATCATTTGAAACGTTGCTTCACGCACGCGTGCGTAATAGCGTCGCACGCCTTGGTCGGTGTGCACGTCGTCGCCGATCACAGGCTTAGCCGGTGTTTTAATTGGAAAACGCCGCGCTGCCGGAAACTGTGCTCGCGTGTTCGGCCTCGTTCGCCTAACCGACAGAGACCTGCCTTTGGCTGTTGCTTGCCTTCCGCCTGCTTCCTTTTTCCTCCTTTCACGTCACTTTTTCCCCGTCTTCGGGGAAATTTGCACGCTTTTGGAAGTTTCGATGGTGTTCGAATTAAGTCAACCGAACGAATTACATCGGAAAAGGTAACTTAAAAAACAATTCTGAATATCGATACCATGAAATTTGCAAATGTAGTTCGTATCGCAGGATAAAATTTTTTCAACGAAGCATGGAAACCTAATATTTGTATCTACCTACCCAAATGCTTAACCCTTTCGCTGCGAATAGCGTATATATATGCTCTGTAAAAATGAGATGATCATTTTTACATTGGCCGAAATTTTCGGATCATCTGCGAATTTTCATCAATATTGAATCTGTTACTAATTCTTTGCACATTTGAAATTGATCTGCAGAATGAATGAATGACACAAAATTCGCGAAAAAGTTCTCAAAGTCGTTAACTTGCAATGCACAACGATTCCAAACTTTTGCTCAGTCCAATACACAACTAACTAATTTATATCTTTGTCAGACAACTGTCACACAACATCCAAAATCACCCTACATTTAACTACCCCAAAACGATTAATTTTCAATCACACGTACCCTTACCTTCATGCAACTCTAGCAAGCACTTTTCGTCACAATCACGCCACACCAAAACGGTTAACATGTCAACTTCTTCTCTTACTACACCTAGCTAACTATATATAACCCCACTGTCGTTCCTAAGGGGTTAATCTTATTCCACCTCGAACAACGGTACACAAGATCGCCCCTAGCGCAGTAAATCCGAACTTTCTCTCTTCCATAAATCTCGGCATGCAAGAAACACGACCAACGCGATTCCGTTCCCTTTGAGAATGATGATTTTATGGGTGCAGGGTCAGATGCCGGGGGGCACGCCAACGGTGAACGGGACAGCCATAGGCGTCGGTGGTCCCAGGGCTCCTGGGGATATGAACAACAACGGGCTATCGGGTCCGGCACTCGGTCCGGTTAAGCCACCGCCGATGTCTATGCAGGCGCCGACCAGCTGAAACGAGGTGTCACCCCCCCTGAAGAAGCTCAGATGTCTCAGCGGTTATTGAGGCTGTCGACGCTCACCGACGACCAGACACGAACCGGGGAAGAGAAATGAGCGGGATTGGACGAGGGCTGAACAACGTCGCGACCAAGTGAATACGCGCGAGGAACCAGAGTGATAGGGACACTCGTACATGTAACCACGATACATACGAATCGGTGAGAAAAAAGGGTTGGGGGGGGGAGGGTGAATGGGTGTAAACGGGAGGGTTCTGTAACGAATCGTTCGCGACGAAAAGGAAAAGAGGAAAGGTGTAAGAGAGAAATAAGAAGGACGATCTCCGTGAAGGAAATCTCGAGGACACTTCCGGGTGATCGATTTTCGTCGTGAGGTTTGGGAATAATCACTGTGATCGCGAATTATATGAATAAATTTATGAAGAAGGAATAGGAGCCGCACGGGACGTGGATATCCGTACATAGAGAGCGTCTCGTGCGGACGCGTGCACCACACACGGAGGACACGTTAACGCACGTCTTGTAATATACGGTACAACATGTAACGATAAAATAGGCGATTCATGTAAGATACATTTCTAGCGAGTGAGTGAGCGAGTGAGAGAGAGAGAGAGTGAGTGAACGAGAGAGGGAGGAGTGATTTAGAAGTGCGAGAGAGAAGGATGAAAGTGTGATAGAGCGCGAGTGACAGCGTGAATGGAGCAGAGTTCTCTTGTAAATATTCTGTACCGTCGACTCTGCAACATGAGAAAAGACTATCAGTATACGCAGACCAATCGATGATTTCTCCATGGGTATATTACTCGCGATTCGTTGGCATTCGACGTTCCGTATAGCGCGCCATCCCGTGTCACGAGAGAGAGAAGAGGATGTTTCTTTTTTGTTTTTGTTTTTTTTTTTTGTTTTTGTCGGTGTGTGACGTCGTGGGAAGAGAAATCGTCGCGAGTTTGTTCGTAAGTTACTGTGTTTGCTGTTTTTCAATTTTGATCGTCGAACGCTCGAACGAACATCAGGAGCGCGGGTATAAAACCGTTTGGAAAGGTCTTGTATACATTCGACGACGTTCGATCTTCGCGGTGAATTTAGACGGCGCGAATCTGACGAATCTCGGGGAGGCGTTTCCAAAATATCTCTCCGGCGTACACACGATGTGGCTGATACCAAAGATTAACGATGTAAGTTTCAATGCCCCACGGGAGTGAGCAAGTCGACGGTCTCGGATTTCGAATATTCCTTACTCGGTGATAATAGCCGTAACAGTTTGCTCACGGGCTCGTGTGCGGCTTCTCCTCTCTCGAGCTTCGCGGTGAGATGCATCTTTAACGGTGGTAAGTCCGCGATCGGGAACTTGCTGGGAACCGATGGGGCTTAGTCGCGGCTTTACACTTTAACGTCAAAATACGAGCAAGAACGGACAACACGAGAGTATTGTAAAGAGTGTAGAAACGACGTGAGAGAGAAGGGAAGAAAGAGAGGAACGGTAAAGGTAAAAGTGCGACGTCGATACCAAAAGATGGCTGAGAATCCGAGAACCGTTGCGTGCGCTGATAAACGATCCGTTTTAAATCACCGACGAAGCAAATCACACACACATAGAACATCGGCCGTGGATTACAGGTGTGGCGAGCGTTGGTAGAATTTGCCTGATCGCGAACGAATAAGACGGTGACAAATTTCTTTTCGCCACTCTCGTTTTTCTCTCTGCAATCCCCCTTTCGCGATCTCAATGAACGAAATCCTACGCGCTTACCTTCCGTTCAGGCAATTTCTCCGCGAAGTCACAACTCGACCCAGAAGAAGTCGCGCGTAAATTACACGAGATACCGCAATTCGAGACCACCGAATCGATCAAGTACAAAAAAGGAGGGAAGAAGAAGAAGAAAGGAAAAGAAGAAAGGTTACGGTACGAGAGAAAGAGGTGCGCCGCGAAGCAAGCGGCCAGCAATCCTGCACAGAGAGTGAAAGAGGGTGAGAAAGGAAGAAACAATACGAGTGATTGGCGCGACAAAAGCCGAAACACGTACACGTACACACACGTAAACACGAACACACTTTCCCCTCGTTTTTTATCCATCTGTATATAAATATCATTTATTAGCGCACTATTAATATATTTACCGCCTCTATAGGGGCTCCCATTACTACCGAGAAAATATAACATTCTTATAAATACAAACCACGATGAGTTTCAAGCGTGTCTTCATTTCATATCCAACAGACTTGTATTACCACACGGGGTGTGTGTGTGTGTGTGTGTGTTTGTGTGGTAAACTCGTCTTTTATTCCTCTATTTATGGATCTTTCCGCGACATTTACTCCCCTCCCTCCCGTCCTTTTCCAGCTCCGTTCCCTCCACGTGAACCCTGTTAGATTTCACATCCCCCCGCCGTATGTCTTGAGTGGAGAAATCGACGTGAAGCGAAATCGCGGTGGCACGCTCTGTAGCCGAGATCCACTGATTTGTGGAGGCCGTATTGTCCGCTTGGTATAGGGAAAAGCGGCTAGAACGGGGCCGGGACAGTGGCGAAGGATGGGAGGGAGGGTCGGAGTTGGGAAAAGGGGTGAGAGAGAAACAGGCAAGGGGTGGCAACGCGATTTCCCTAATGCCTTCCAGCCCACGGAGTTGAATGTTATTATGCACGGTGAAGACTTTATAATAGGACGTTGAAACTCTTTAAAACTCGCGGAGAGAGAGAGAGAGAGAGAGAGAGGGCGGATCCTTTAACCCCCTTTGCTTCGTTGCGTTGCCCTCGAAAGGGCTCGTCACTTCACTCCGACACTTAAATGATTTTCCCTCGTTGCCCTCGAAAATTCCGAGGATCGCTCGTGACCTTCCCGTGTTCTTCGCCCTTTCTAGATTTCATCGACGATTCATTTTTTAACCAATCTCCCGTCAAATTCGGTATCCTCGGTGTCTCTAAATTCCATTTCTTCGAGGATTTAATTCTAAAAAATTGTCGAACGCTGAAACAGATCTAACCCCGTTCCCCGGCGCCTAGATTACACAAGAGGCGCTACAGGCGTGCATAAATTAATCGGTTAGCGTGCAGAAGGTGACGCGTCGTCCCGATCGGTGTCGCGCTTCATCCACCCTCGCCTCCGTTGTCATCTGGAGTCGCATTAATCACGTCGAAGCCGCGAGTGGCGGAGTAGGACGCG